TGAGGGGTTAGCTCGGGCTGAGGGGCTCCCAGGCCTGATGCAGAGGCCCTTGTCCTCTCGCCCTAGGCTGGACCGCTTCGAGAAAACAAACGAGATGCTTCTGAACTTCAACAATCTGTCCAGTGTGCGGCTGCAGCAGATGAGTGAGCGCTTCGTGCACCATACCCGCACCTTGGTGGACATGAAACGGGACCTGGACAGCATTTTCCGAAGGATCAGGTGGCCCCTCCCCCTAGAGCTCCTCTGGGGTCCCACAGCCAGATGCTCCCTCAGCCTGTCTTACAAGTACATCTTCCCCAAGCCACTGTCCCCTAATACCCCACTGTTGGCTCTTTCTCTGTCACCAACGCTCTTTAGGTGTCCAGCACCTCCACTCTGAAGCTCCAAGACCCTACCCCAGGGGCCTTTGCTAGCCTCTGCCTCCTTAGTCCCTTCTGAAGCCTATCCCTTAAGTCCTTGTCCTCCCCTCTCCCCTTCTCCCTCCCCGCTGAGGTCCCGTCTCTTTTCTCCACTGGCTCTGCCCTCTGCCTTCGCCAGCCCAGGGAATTCTGGATGTTTTACAAGGCAGATCTGACCTCTGAGGGAGTGAGTTGGAAGTAGTGAATCTTCCCCCATATCCCACCCCCCCTTCTTTTTGAGACAGGTTTTCTCTCTATATAGCCTTTGCTGTTCTGGAACTCCCTCTTGTAGACCAGGCTGGCCTCAAACTCAGAGATCCATCTGCCTCTGCTTCCTGAGTTCTGGGATCAAAGCTGAGGGCATTTAATCACCCAATTGTGACTTTCCCTTTTATTTAATATCTGTGCTACATAGCTGGAACCCAATACAAGTCAGGAGAGGTTATAGCTGAATAGACAGACCAGGCCCTCTGGCCAGCAGAACACTGGGCTCCGTACATCCTGGATAGAAGCAGGGTTTGGTTCAGGACTTCCACAATCATGCTGGCTCTTGGACCGTGACAGAAGTGTGTGTTAGAGGGACACACTTCTTTGGCACTCAGCATGCTCCTTTGGGTGTACTTCACAGCCTTACTTATCACTGCGGTGGGCACGCCTGCAGCCAGCTAGCTGCCCAGACCCAGAACAGCCAAGAGTAGCTCCTTCAAGTGCAGTGAAAACAGCCCTGGACCAGGAGGTTCTGGGTTTCTGCCTTTTGCTGTTGTGTGATCTTAGCTAAGTTACTTGGTCCTCTTAGGCAACATAAACAGTGCTCAGGTTGTGAGCTTTCTGTGAGCACTGGATTCAGCCACACAGAAAGGGATCCAGATCACACATGTGTCCTTTCCTTCAGCTCAAGGCTCTGGCCTGGGGAACTAAGGGGACAAAGTAAATTCTGCCCAGAGGTCTTGAGATGTTCTAGACTGGTCTATACCTTTTATTAGTGTTATTTTGCTTTGTTTTTGAAGCAAGGTCTCAATGGCTATCTTGAAAGTCACAGAGATCCTCCTGCCTCTGCCTCCCTAGTGCTCTGCTCCCGTGTTTCCTAGTTTTCCTTTAACACACACTTCTCTCCCAGAACACCAGGCTGACTCACATGGAGTGTGGGTAATAGGTAGGAGCTCTTCAAGCCCCAGGAGTTACCACAGCAGCCTGTGTCCTAGATCCCCACAAAGGAGACAAAAGTCCAGTGTGTCAAGTGCTGAGCCTCAGCTGTGTGACTGTTCCAGGCTGGCTACAGTCAGGGAGGGGGCTGTGTTCTCTGAAGACCCTTCCCTAGCCTATTAGGCCTGAGGTACAGAACTTTAGGGCAGAGCAACCAGTAGCTAGTTCACAAGGTAATAAAGGCAACTGGGAGTGATGACACATGCCTGTGTACTGGAGCTTGAGACAGGAGGAACTTGATCTCCACATCAATGCGGGCTCTGTAGTGAGGTCAAGAACAGCCTAAGCTACCAGCAAGTCTTTGTCTCAAAAAGCAAAAAAAGGGGTCTGAGGAGGAGACTGCTGAGTAAAGTGCTTGCCCATCACACACATAAGTCAGGCTCAGTGCTGTGCATACGGCTAAATGTGGAGATTGGGTATTGCTCTTGCAAAGAACAAGAGGTTAGTTCCCAGCACCCACGGCAGATGGCTCACAATTGCCTTTGACTCCTGTCCCAGAGGATTGGAGTAGCCTTGGGCACCTGCACACATGCATAACCGCATACAGAAATCACACACACACATACACACACACATACATACACACACATACATACACATGCGCGTGCGTGCGTTAAAGACAGGAAGAGCCCAGAAGAGAGCATTGCTGGGAATTGAACTCAGGATCTCTGGAAGAAGACAATGCTCTTAACCGCTGAGCCCCAAGATAGAAAATTTTAAAAGATTTATTTATTTTAGGTATGTGAGTACACTGTAGCTGTCTTCAGACACACAAGGAAAGGGCATCGAATCCCATTACAGATAGTAGTGAAACCACCATGTGGTACTTACTGGGAGTTGAACTCAGGAACTCTGGATGAGCAGTCAGTACTCGTAACCATTGAGCCATCTCTCCAGCTTGACAAAATGAATTTGGTTTTTTTTTTTTTTTGTTTTCTGTTTTCTGTTTTTCCAGACAGGGTTTTTCTGTATAGTCCTGGCTGTCCTGGAACTCACTCTATAGACCAGGCTGGCCTCCCAAGAAAGATGAAGTTTTTAAATGTTGAGTGTAGGTGGTGCCTGTTATCTGGGCTGTGGGGCTTGCTGACCGACAGCCCAGCTCATGGAGGACAGCTGAGGTGGGCACGGGCTGAGGAGACCCAGTGGAGAGCTCCAACCCATCCCCGGGGAGCTGGCAAAGGAGGAACAAATGTAGACAGCTGCAGACAGCTTAGGTTGCAGCCTAGGCCTCCTGTCTCCCAAAGGCTGCTGGGGCCAAGCCTAGGAAGAGAGAAGGACCCATGGGTGTGGGACAGCAGCAGACAAGTGCCCCAAACACTGAGAGCCAGGCAGGAAGTTCCCAAAGCCAGTGAGGCTGGTGGCTCACCCTCTGCCCCTTCTCCATAGGACACTGAAGGGGAAGCTGGCCCGGCAGCACCCAGAGGCCTTCAGCCGTAAGTGTGCCCCACCCCACCCTGTAGCTGCCATCTGAAGTCTGCCTGGACAGCTGCCTACCCAGGGTCCCCAGGGTGGCGGGTGGAGAGGCCTCCGCAGTGTGAGTGAGACTACAGAGGTGGCAGTGTCCTTGCTGGAGACTGGTTTCAGGAATCGATGGTGATTGCTCTCATACCCAGGAGCCCTGTGAACCAGGCTATCACTCACAAGCATGTGTGAGGTAAAGGTGGAACATTCCATTTCACAAAGAGGAAACTGAGATCCAGAGCAGAGGGAAGTGATACTATCTGAGTGTGAATGAGGTGGAGCCAGAGGGCGAGAAACCGAGCCAGCTCTCAGTCTACAGCTGCAGAATCACGGGGAGCCTGAGATGCCAAAGGCTCTGCTCACCTCCTGAGTGGCTTTGTCCGTTCCAGTGACAGGCAGAACTCCTGGGTTTCTTTTGTTTGCATTGTGTATTTTTTGTTGGCTTGAGTTGGTTTTTTTTTGAGACACGGTTTCTCTGTGTGGCTCTGGCTTTTCTGGAAAACTCACTCTGTAGACCAGGCTGGCCTCGAACTCAGAAATCCACCTGCCTCTGCCTCCCAAGTGCTGGGATTAAAGGCGTACGCCACCACTGCCCAGCTGCTTTGTGTTTTCTTTCTTTTTTCTTTTTCTTTTTTTTTTTGGGGGGGTGGTGGGGGGTTCAAGACAGGGTTTCTCTGTGTAGCCCTGGCTGTCCTGGAACTCACTCTGTAGACCAGGCTAGCATCGAACTCTTGAACTCAGAAATCCGCCTGCCTCTGCCTCCCAAGTGCTGGGATTAAAGGCGTGCGCCACCACTGCCAAGCTGCTTTGTGTTTTCAAGACATGGTCTAAAGTAACCTCAAATTCTTTTGTAGCTAAAGATGACCTTGAACTCCTGATTCTTCTGCCTCCACCTAGAATGATAATACCAGGCAGGGCCGGTGCATACACAGCCAAACCTAGCCTCTCTGCCTGTGCCAGCCAACCTGCAGCTTTTGTTGGTTTTGTTTCAAGTGTTCAGCTTTCAGACAGCATCTTACATACAGTCCTGGGTCGCCTCGGATTCCTTATATTCCTCCTGCCTCTGTCTCCTATACTGGATGACAGATGGGTATGCTTACTCGAGTCCATCCTCACACACGGTAGACCTGTGATGAGTTTCCTCCTCTGTAAAGTGGGTTGAGTCATGCCCCATGGGTGAGAGTTTTAGGGGCCTGGAATCTGCATGGGGTGACTTGACCAACATGGGAGTTCCTTCTCCAGACATCCCAGAGGGATCATTCCTAGAGGACGAAGATGAAGACCCTATCCCGCCCAGTATCACCACAACCATCGCCACCTCGGAGCAGAGCACGGGCTCCTGTGACACCAGCCCTGACACTGTCTCACCATCCCTAAGTCCTGGCTTTGAGGACCTATCACACATTCGACCTGGCTCTCCTGCCATCAATGGCCACAGCCAGACAGATGATGAGGAAGAGACACATGAAGAATAGCCTCCTTCCCACAGCCGTGGTCCTCCTAGGTCACAGTCAGTCAGCTTTGCTGCTCCATTCTTTCACAGGCAGGGTTCCTAATTCCTGCCACTCCCCCAAGAGCAGGACTTCCCTATGCCACCACGTGAGCCCCAGCTGGGGCGGTGGGGCTGGGTAAAGCTAACCTTGAGCTCAGCCTGGACCAGCTTTGAGCAGTGCTTCTAAGATTCCAGAGACCAAAACCAGATTGTCCCCCTCACCCTGAGTGGACACAGGGGGCTGAGCTTGTTCCTACCCACTGGCAGCTGCTGGCTCAACTCTGGTCTCCCTGCTCTCTGTGGAATACATCTCTCCTGTTGTGTTGAAATCTGGAGGAATAGAAGATTAGAGATGAGGCAGCCTTGACTGAGGAGCTGCTTCTCCATCAGGCGTCTCCAGCTGGCCAGTCACCTTAGAAAACAGCTCCATGGAATATTTTTGTACCCGATGTTTACAGATGGTGGGAAGTTATCAATAAAGACTCTGTTGTTAAAAGGGAACACTACACTAGCAGTGGCTTGCTTCTGTCTTTGGGCCTCACATCCCAGACCATGGGCAAGTTCAGAATGTCTCCAAGGGGCCCTGCTGGAGGAGGCTGGCCACACTCCAGACCCTGTGAACTACCAAGACAGGGCTGTGCAGATGGGAGTCCTGAGACATGCGAGTGGGGGTCAGAGGGCAAAGCCTGCCTTTATGAACTCCCTTCTCTTGCTCCCTGCCGTGGCCACTCCCTGGCCTATGGCTTCTGGTTTCTGCTATCTAGACATTAGAGCTAGGATTGCAGATACCAGCTACCATGCCATACAGCTTTTACTTGCATTTTAGGGATTTGAGCCTGGGTCTTCAGGCTTGCACAGCAGGAGGTTTATTCACTGAATCATCTCCTGGACTTGAACCACTCTTAAATGATAGTTTGTCAGGACATAGCCTGGTTACAGAGCCATGCCAAGCAAGCACTAGGTCCAGCTCCAGCACTTCAGGGTAGTATTAAAAAGGAAACAGCAGCGCCACATGGAAGATTATAACTTTAACTCCAGTCCCAGAACAAATGATACCCTCTGTTGGACTTACGGCACCAGCCATTTTAATTGTACACAGACACACGAACAGGCAACACACTTATACACATAAAAAATATTTTTAGGGTCGCCGAAATGGCTCAGAGGTTAAGAGGGTGCTTTTGAAGAGAAAGGTTCAATTCTCAGTATCCATATGGATGCTCACAGTCATCAGTAACTGCAGTTCCATGTCAGCGTTCTCTTCTGGTCTCCACGGGTACAGCACTCATGTGGTACACTTAACTAGTAGGGAAAATATACCAACAACCAGGTACGTACTTTCTGAGTCACTAAAAGTGTCTTCACAGCCGGGCGGTGGTGGTACACGCCTTTAATCCCAGCACTTGGGAGGCAGAGGCAGGCGGATCTCTGAGTTCGACGCCAGCCTGGTCTACAGAGTGAGTTCCAGGACAGCCAGGACTACACAGAGAAACCCTGTCTAGAAAAAAAAACAAAAAAAAGAAAAAAAAAGTGTCTTCCCACAAGGTGTTTTCTACCTGGCAACTGGTGGGGAAGCAGATCAGTGCCTTGCTCAGCCAGCATTAGAGACATAAACTCCTTCAACAGATGGGAACAAAGAGACCCACAACTGGACAGTGTGCAGAGACACTGGAGCAGGAAGATTGTAAAATTCTGGGATAGAGAACACCAAGGAACAGGCCTCTAAACCCAGCATGACTAACATATGTGAACTCGGACTGTGACAGCATGCACAGGATCTGCAGGGGTCTAAGCCAGAAAAGGCTGCAGTACTAAGGGGGGAAGACAACCCATCCCTAATTCAGCAGCTCTCTCCAATTGACAGCCATTCGCAAATGAAAAAATATTTTCCCCAACAGAGTCTTACTGGGTATGCAAACCACACTTTAAAGATAGGCCATAAAATGAACTCAACTGTAATTTTGAAGGTGTTTGCCTCATGCTTTGTCTGAACCATTGTCCTGGTTGCATATTATGGTTCCCAACTTTGTGTTTTATAAATGTGTTAGCCTAAGAGAAATCCTGTCTCGAAAAACCAAAAACAAACAAACAAACAAAAAACAAACAAATGTGTAAGCCTAAGAGAAACCCTGTCTCAAAAAACCAAAACAAACAAGCAAACAAATGTGTGAGCCTATGTCTGTGTTTCTCATCCTATTCTGGTTTTATTTTATGTGCTGGTTTGTTTTAGCTGTTTGTTTGCTGGCTTGTTTTCTAATTTAAAAAGGTGTGGATTTGAGTGAGTAGGGACCTGGGGAGAATCTGGGATGACTTGAAGAAAGGAAGGAAGGAAAGAAGGAAGGGAGTGAGGAAATCCTGATCTGTAAACTGTATGGGGAAAGAAAAAGCCTATTTACTTTTTTTTTTTTTTTTTCTTTTTTAGGTTTTTCGAGACAGGGTTTTTCTGTGTATCCCTGGCTGTCCTGGAGCTCACTCTGTAGACCAGGCTGGCCTCAAACTCACAGAGATCCGCCTGCCTCTGCCTATTTTCAATTAAAAAAAATAAAAGGCATTTTTCCAGTTACTTCCACATCCGCTTTTTGCCTGGTGCACTGAGAGCACTGGGGAATAGTTAAGGAACAAGAAGAGCCGAATTTAGCTCTCTAGCGTCTGGTGATTGTATCGTTTTTGTCTGAAACAGGATCACACTATGGCTGGTATGGAACTCTGTGAACCACACAGGCCTTGAACTTCCAGATATCCGCGGCTTCTGCCCCCAACTGCTAGGATTCACTTCTTTTGCGTGTACATGCCGGTTAAAGTCGGCGAACAACTCCAGTAGGTTCTCTGCCTCCACCACGATGGTAAAGTGCCTTTACTCGCTGAGTCTTCTCGCTGGCTTTGGAGAAAGTGGCTTACTCTGAACCCCAGCCGGCCTGGTACGTACTCACCGCAGTCCGCCTGGCGCGGTGACAGCACAACGCTAGCTACACCTCAGTTAAACAAAAACCTGTCCGCGCCGGGAAGGCAGCGCAGACACTTCCGCAAGAGCGGCTATCGCTCAGGTGCCGAGGGCAAAGCTCCGCCCGGAAGCGGCTCCAGACAGTCGGGCTTCTCTTGCCAGGACCCAACATGGCGCCCGGCGAAGCCCGGGGCGGGACGACGTGCGGCGCGGATTGTGACGTCGACGCACAGCGTGCTCAGTGCGCAGGCGCCCTGAGAGGAGACTAGGGGGTTTCCGGTTCCGCTGTCCTCTTTCTCTTCAACGAGGCGGCCGAGCGGGTTGGTGGCGGCTGCGTCGCCGACAGGCTGGTGGCGGCTGGGCCGGGGCGGGGACACGGCGGGGACCGGCGAGGGGACTGTAGGTGTCTGCGGGCGCCGCTTCGGCGCCGCGCATGCTCGGTGGGACTCGACCGCCAGGACCTGGAGCGCGGCGGGCACGCGGCAGTCCAGCCCGGGAGCTGCGGGCAGAAAGACCAAGAGCTCTGACCCGAGCTGCGGAGGGAGTTCTGGGCCTGTCCTGAGATATACTGGGTGTTCGGTTCCAGTGTTGGCTACAGAGGGGGTTCAGGGCCAGCCTGTGTTTGGGGGCTTGTGGCCACCCACGGCTATAAAGTTTGCCTAGGTTAGACCTGGTCTTAAAAAAAAAAAACTCGAAAATGTGTGTCGTGGTGCACTGCTCTCACTTCAGCACTTGAGAAGTAGGTCGTAGTGAGTCTAGCCTGCCCTACTGAGAAAACGGTTTGCTGTTCGAGCCTTCGGTTGGAGGGGAAAGGACGGCTTCTTGCTGCGGTGGGATGGTTTTTGGTGGGACTTCCCGCCCCACCAGGTGGTGGTGACTGGGAAAGTTGAGACTGGACAGAGTGGGACTACTGATCCTCAGTCCGCAGCAGGATAGGGCTTTGTGGTAGTAAAGGTAGCTGAGAAGCAGTCTTAGGTGGTTAGTACGGTGATGGCCCTCGGCCGTGTCAACATGTAACTCATGCGGTTCCCTCTACTGTGTAGCAGACGCCAACATGCAGATCTTCGTGAAGACCCTGACGGGCAAGACCATCACTCTTGAGGTCGAGCCCAGTGACACCATCGAGAACGTCAAGGCCAAGATCCAAGACAAGGAAGGTGGGTTGTGCTGTTCGGGGCTTTGTCCTGGGGACGGGAGTGCTTAAGGACTTTGGTTGCCTCTGAGTGACCGGGGTCGTACTAGCTCCTGCTGCAAGGAGCTGTTGCCAGCCTGGTTTTTCCCGTGCACAGGCATCCCACCTGACCAGCAGAGGCTGATATTCGCTGGTAAACAGCTGGAGGATGGCCGCACCCTGTCCGACTACAACATCCAGAAAGGTAAGGGCCATTTTACTTGGCTAGTATTTGTAGGTGGGAGGCTGGCATATTGGAATCAGTTCCTTTCTAACCTCGTGTGAGCTTCAGGGATTGAGCCCAGGTCACTAGACAGACTCATCTGTGTGCCCCTCCCTACTTGCCAAGCCTTTGCTTCTGTTTTTGTTGTTTGCTTTGAGGCTAAGTGTCAACTTAGCCCAAGTTGTCTGGAACTCCTTGTAGCTGATGTTAGCCTCAAACCCTTTTTTTTTTGGTTTTTCGAGACAGGGTTTCTCTGTGTAACCCTGGCTGTCCTGGAACTCAGTCTGTAGACCAGGCTGGCCTCGAACTCAGAAATCCACCTGCCTCTGCCTCCCAAGTGCTGGGATTAAAGGCGTGCGCCACCACTGCCCGGATCGCGATTTTTTAATTTTTTTAAAAAATTGTTATTTATTATATGTAAGTACACTGTAGCTGTCTTCAGGCACCCCACAAGAGGGTATCAGATATCTTTACAGATGGTTGTGAGCCACCATGTGGTTGCTGGGATTTGAACTCATGATCTCTGGAAGAGCAGTCAGTGCTCTTAACCACTGAGCCATCTCACCAGCCCCCGATCCGCCTACCTCTGCCTCCCAAGTGCTGGGATTAAAGGCGTGGGCCACCACCGCCCAGCCGCAAACCCATTTTTACTAACTCATTCCTGTGTTGTGTCCCTGTCACCCAACACCACACTCACACATTCTGCATCACCTTGCCTCCCATGTGCTCAGATGAAAGGTCTGGCTGCCTGTGCTGGCTGTGTTGGCATGGGTCTGAGCCTGAGTGTAGCCCTGGGGATGGATGCTTGCTGTGCTGAATGGCTGTGGGGCTGGCCTCCACTGGGCTTGTTTCTTGTCCGGTGTGACTTGTGCTTGCACAGGACCTGTAAAGCTCCCTGCTGCTTCCTAGATGCCTGACATCCCAATCCCATGGTGTCCCACCCCTTCTTCCGGCCCCAGTACTCTCTTTACAGTCTACCCCCTGTGGAGGAGCCTCTTTAGGGTATGCTCCGTGGAGTCTTTGGGCAGCCCACCTCACTGTCCTGTGTGAGGTCCTTCCCTGATCTCCTTGTCCTCTTTGCCAGAATCCACCCTGCACCTGGTGCTGCGCCTGCGCGGTGGCATCATTGAGCCATCCCTTCGTCAGCTTGCCCAGAAGTACAACTGTGACAAGATGATCTGCCGCAAGTGCTACGCACGCCTGCACCCCCGTGCAGTCAATTGCCGCAAGAAGAAGTGCGGCCATACCAACAACCTGCGCCCCAAGAAGAAGGTCAAATAAAACTGGGGCCATACCTAGCCTGTGACCCCGGGACCAAATAAAGTCCCCTTCCATCGACTGGAGCAGTAATTGGTGTGCAAAGTGACTGTTCTGTTCAGGGGTAGGCGGGGAGGGGGGATCCCAGTCAGAAGGGGATCTCACCGTGTAGCCCAGGTTGCCCTTGAACCTTGCAGGCTGGGGTGGCAGATAGGCCTGTGCCCACCTGAAATTGTGAACTGTTGGCTGCCAGGTGAACCACTGGTTAAAACGACCATGAGCCGGGCGGTGGTGGCGCACGCCTTTAATCCCAGCACTTGGGAGGCAGAGACAGGCGGATTTCTGAATTCAAGGCCAGCCTGGTCTACACAGAGAAGCTCTGTCTCAGAAAACAAAAACAAAAAACTTGACCATGAACCCACATAAAGGTGGAGACACAGTACTGCTGTGAGGAGCTAGCATGGGGAAGCAGGCTCTGGCCACATTGAGATCTTACGGTCTGGGCTCTGATGTGTGGAGACCGCAGTTTAGGGTCTTTGCAGGGGGAGTTCACCCAATTCAGTACTGCATGTGCAAGTTAGGTTCCTGGATTCCCCATCAGCCTTGACATGTCAGCCATGGCACCAGGGATTGCAGACGCACACTTTGTGGGCTTGTGAGACCGTCCTGTCTGTCTTTGGATTTAGTATCAGGCACATTTGCATGGGTGTACCTGGTCCTGGGGTCGCTTTGGCCCATCATACGGAGAGCTGGGGGCAGGAGAAGGGGGGCGCTATGATTGCAATTGACTTCAGGTATCCAGTCATTTGAGAGGTTCTGTGGGTTTGAACCTGTTTGCCAGCAGCTTGCGCAAATCCATGTGTTTGCAGCCATCATTACATAATGTCACCTGGGGAAGGAGCCTTTCAGAACATTCTCCTGCCTCAGCTTTTGCACAGACCACTTAAAAGTAGGCCCAACTTTGTTTTATTTTTGGCTGGGCTCAAACCCCCAGAAATCTGTCTCAGCAGTGCTGGGATTGAGGGCATACCCTGCCTTGCATCCCATTTCCAAGGTGTGATCTGAATTGATTTGTGTGAGTGAGGTGACGCATTGGGTCCAGTACTCAGCCGCTGGTTCCGGTCTATCCCCCAGCTACATTTGTAAACAGAAATACTTGTGGCCTTCGACTCTGACCCTATTTGGTCCCCACTGGTCGCGAGGGTCCGGCGGGTGTACACGGAGTCCTGAACTAGTACCTACAGAACTAGAATTCAAAGGCAGCCGGCTTCCCGCGCAGGTTGGTTGTGGACCTCCGGGCCGGCAGGGGGCGCAGCGGCCGTTCTCAAAGTGCCACTTGATTGCGTAGTCATGCTCACCGCTGCTGCAGAGGTGCTGGCTGCTGCCGACAGCTCCGAGTCTGCAGAGTCCGCGTGGGCCTGGGTGAGCCTGGATGCGGGTGGGACGGGCGCGGGGCATCGGGGCGGGCGCGGGGACCCGACTTCACGGCTCCACACCCCAATAGAGAGACGCCCCGATCGCTACTCTGGTACAGAGGGTCCAGCAGCTGCAGAACGAACGCGCACAGGCCTTCCGCCGTCTGGACCAGTGAGCCGGCTGGGCTGGAAGAGGGGGCGGGCCTCGGGACAGCTTGCTAGAGGGGAACCTGCGGGGAGGCGGCTGGCATGGCGGGGGAGACCTAGGTTGTGGACTTGGTCGGAAGAATTGGGGAGACAGATGAGATCTGAGCCAGGAGATGCGGGAGCGCGGCAGCCGGGAGGAGGGGGTATGGACGGTGGGTAAAGGGGTCGGTGACGCTGAAACGTGTCTGGAGGAGAGTCTACTCGCGGGAGGTAGAGCTGGGAGTGTGGCCGGTAGTAGCAGGGTGGAGCAGAATGTGACTGTGGGCGTGGCCTGGGGAGCGCTGTGGTGACCCTCTGCCAGACCCCTCCCCTCGCAGAGATGGGTAAGCTCTAGCTATTCTGACTGCAGGTCGCCCAGTCTGTGGGGTTCAGGTTTGTCTCCGAGTTGGGTGGATCTTCCAGGTGGCTGGAGCAGGGAGCGTGGTCTGCGAGTCAGGGTTGTTGGTTCAGCATCCTCCCCGCCCACCGCAGAGCTCACCGTCAGTACCTGCTCAGTGATCTGCACCATGACTTCCCGAGTTACCGGAGTGTCGTGCACGAGGTGACGCAGGCTTTCGCCGCTGCCTCGCGGGAGGTACTGGCAGTGGAAGCAGAGTTGGCGGGGCCTCGAGCGCAACCGGTGCTCGCCCGCCACGTGCGCAGCCTGCAGGAGCTAGAACAGACGCGCCTGGCCACGGTAAGACCACCACCTCTCCTTCAGAGTGGGGCATGGGCCACAACCCATTCCCAGCCACCCCGACCTACTACTATTTTTGCCACACATGTCGATGCATTTGGGCCCTCTCTCTCTCTCTTTTCTGTCTGCCTGCATTTCCCTCCCAGATTTTGATTAATTATACCAGCCCCTCTGTAGCTTAAGAACTCTGGGGACCCAACGTGTTGACCATTGTGGCTGAGTCCCTCCCCTCTCCAACTCTGAGTTATCACTGTTGGAACCCACAAACTACTGCTTCCACAAACATCCTCAGACACTTCTCATCCTTGGTCCTTGACCCAGATCCCAAGGTTCCACCTACCCTAACCTTACAGCCAATGTTAGCAGGGGAGGAGCTTGCCCACTGTAAACCACACACATGTCTCTTCAGTCTGAAATTCTTAGTGCAGAATCCCAAACTCTACAGAGTCCCAGATTTATTTCCATCCAGGAATTAGAACTCTCTCTATCCCGCCACTACGGTGGAGGCCACACCTACCACACCTGCCACCACTCCCTGGCTTTTCCAAACTATGACCATAGTCTGTACCGCCTACCACAGGAGAGCCCTAAAAGCAAACCTTGTGATCCCTCTCACTCATGCCTCACTTTCCTTGGGATCCACTCATGGCCCTCCTTCCCTGTGTGGCTTTTGTCTACTGTAACTCCCATTTTTCCCTTCAGGTGGCGCTGCTGCAGGTGATGGGGACACCAGGAGTGTCAGAACAGGACCCTGAAAAGTTGCACCAGCTGAAAATAAAGTGAGACCTGTGGGCCCCGTGGCCTGCCAGCTTAGACTAGCACTTTGGGTCCACCCAGAGCTGACCTAGAGAGGGCAGTCACTCAGACCTGCACCCTGGTGTTCCCAGATGCATGCTTCCCAGAATGTGCATGGGTATCATGTCGCCTACAGTTTCCAGTGCTTTCAGGAGTCTGACCATGCCCACAGCCACGCTTGCTCCCGTGTGAACCCCTGCAGTTCTCTTGCAGGTCTGTAAGCATAGGCAGGCATGCACAGACATCCCAACTTATGTGTGACATGCACCCCTTCCCCCCACCATGGCCTTTCCCATGAGCCCACGGTGACCCACCGAGCCACCCAGCCTCCTGGGCATGCTCCCAGGCTGGGCTTGAGGTTTGGCAGCAGGCAGGAGGGCCCAGGGCTTGCCATAGCCCCCCTCCCCGCTAGCTGTGCAGCTCAGCTAATTCACCCCATCTGGGTTTTATTTATAGTTTCCATCCGCTCTTGTAGGGTAATTAAAACCATGGAGGCGGTCAGCGAGGTTCTGCAGGAACTCAGGTTTGATGCCGAATCTGTAGAGTGAGGGCGGCTCCCCAGGGACCAGAGGAAGACGGGAAAAGAGGCCCATGGCGTCCAGCCCAGCCCTGACCGCCAGCTGGCTGAGGTCGTGCCCTGCTGGGCTGCCCTCCAATGCGCCGCACGCAATAAAGAATTCTCCCTCTGCAACTTTCCCATCGGCTCTGTATCTTGGGATGGGTCGGCCATCTTGTGGGGAGGATTCCCCAGGGAACAGGGAGAGCAGGTGTAAGATTTCACACTCCCAAGGAGTTCAGGACAGGTAGTGTTCTAGGAAACAGGATTGAAATTTGGGGAGGGTGCCACCCCCCCCCCCCAGAACACACTGGCCATCAGGGAACCTGAACAATTCATTTATTTAAAGAGACTCTGGAAGGGCCCTGCATAACTAAGGTCATTACTCCAACCCTACCCACTTTGGGGTACATCCAAGGTTGACTATCACGTGGATCAAAACTGTTTGTGGGAGCTCATTGTGCCCCAGCCCCTGGTATGTTTCTTCCTTGTCCCAAAGTGATGGTACAGAGCTGCTCCAGTTCACGAGAGCCTCCAGGTCTGCATCCAGCAGGCCTATCCTTAGAGTTTAGCCGGCAGGACCTGAGGGCAGAAAAGAGGCCACACTAAGCCTGGAGCCTGCCAGTCTTGCACCTTGCTGCAGTAAAACCTGGCACTTCTTTGCAGTAGGTGTTTATACAAGCTACATGAGTGCTAAGAGATTCCTTTGAGCAACATCGAGGGAGGGGAAAGGCCTTATCTAGACTCCCCCAATCCCCACTCACCCGACCCCCTTACCTCTCGCCGCACCCCGTCTGCCCGAGGGCAGGATCCCCTCGTCCTGTGCTTGGAAAGAAGAACGCAGTGTTGTGGAGGCGGCACACCCGGGTCCCTCTCATCAGCTCCTTCACCCCCACGCAAGCCTCCCCCACTTTCCTACCTGGTTTCGGGTCTTGTGTGACTTCTGCATCCAAGCACGCCACTGGTCGTACAGGCGGAAGCTAAGGTTCGAGCAGTACGCGTGCTTCTTGAGCCAGCCAAGGAACTGCTTGAGCTCGCGCCGCACCGGGCCCGAGCTGGGCTCGCCGCCCCGCGGCTCGCACACCCCGCCGCCCGGGCCCGGGCGCTCTAAAGAGAGTGGAGCGGCAGTGTCGGGGCGCGGCCGGCAGGAGGCGCGCGCGGGACGGCGACCTCCCATACCAAAGACCAGCTTCGGCAGGGCAAAGTTAGGAAAGGTGTCAGGCGTGGACACAGCGTCACCCAGAAGGATGGCGAAGCCACAGTGATGGAGATGGGCAAAGGAGGGAGTCAAATCACTGGGAGGCAAAACCGAGTATTCGGCCGGAAAGGAAAGCAATGGAAATTAAGCGGGGCCAGATAGAGACTCTAGGGACACGGACAAAGCAAGGGACAAACCAAGACAAAGACCCAGAAAGCAGAGATCCTGGAACTGTACTCCCAGTCACTGGGAAGAGAGCCCCTCCCACAAACGTGGTGGCAAAGCACTTGGTAGGCTGAGGCAGGATAGCTGCGAAACTAAAGCCAGAGATTTACCTTAGATTACCTGTGACTATCCAAACGGGGTGGGAAGTGGGGGGTGAAGGGCTAGTGAGATGGCGCAGTGGGTAACTGTGCTTGTCGCCAGCCCAGCCCTAGTCCCACATGGTGGAAGGAACCTACTCACAAAAGTTCTCTGACCTTCACGTGTGTGCACGCTCACAAAGGCACACACATCACACAAAAACAAACAATTTTAAAAGTTTAGTTATATTAAAAACGTTTTTTAAAAGGGCTCTGGGAAAGTAAATGACAGAAATGGAGACAGACAGCAAGCACAGACGGGGGGGGGGGGGTGTTCCCCAAGATAAGCCTGTCAGAATGCTCGGGT